AGAGCGATCATAAATCGTTTATAAGCGGTTAAATAAAGAATCGCGCCTAGCCATAGTTATATTCAACAACATTATTAATTTAGGGTCTGGTGTTTCAGCCCTAGGTTCATTCATTTTTGACGTGCTAGCTTTCGACATCTTAATAATAAATATATATATATATATATATATATATATATACGGAATAATAAAGTTATATGCGAAGTCTTAATTTAACTAGCGAGCGACGAACAAATTTATTAACGCGCAGTAAACATTAATCTTTCGCGAAAATATCAGGTAGATTTATTAAACTGATCTAAATTTGTTCGTGAGCGAGTTGGTATGCAGAAATTGTACTATGTATTGCGGTACGTAACGAATGATAAGAAATTATATATTGGTGATGAATATACGGCTTTAAATTAATATAATAAATATATAATGTATGTATATATGCGAGAAATTAAGTAAAATATAATATTTAAATGTGTCTAAGTATATTCAGATATAATTAATATACTCGTATGAATGCGTGGAAGAAATAAACCGAATTTATGAGTAAAATCACGTCGTGAAATGTGATAGCTTAACTCAATGGTATATAATAATAATGGTATATAAATATTATGTCATATATGGGTTGCATATGACTATATATTATGCCTATTGTTCATGGAAATATTTCAACGAATGTGGCAAAAAGAAATGGTTATCGAACTGAAATATTTTAATATGGGCGAATGGACCAGAGAATATGGTTCTAATCCGGGCGAAGTGACCAAAAAATAGTGATGCGTTAATGTGGGTTAAAGTGGACTGTAATAGATAATTGGAATTAGATTTCGTTGAAATTTGCAACCGACACATAAAACTGAAGGCACGCACCTGATGAACGCTGGCAGCTTCTTCTCGCACCTCAGGTTGACACTCGCGTGATGCACTCCTAGTTGTCTTGCGCGATTTACACTTATTTCACACAATTCACGGCTGTGATTTTAAGTTTATGATAATTAAGCAGATATAGCGAGCGTAACACAATGTGCTTGCGCGTGCGGGCATGGTCTTACTTAGACTACGCTTCTACTCCGTTGCCGGTTGCAAAAGGGAATAAGATGAATGAATGAATGAAAGGCATTATAAAGGAAATCTGATTCGTCAACAAAATTGACCAGAAATGCGGAATCTTTCAATTTGAGAAGTGGCGGCAACAATAACCTTAGAACGTAAATATGAAAGCATATCAAGCTAATCATTACTTTCGTAGAAAACTACATCAAGAGGAATGAGTTCTAAAGCGGGAATATTTCATCATGACCGTACATCCGTTGCAAAAATTTACTTTGTGAAAACTAGATCTAATAGATTTTTCTAGCTAACCTACTTGTCAATGAAGCTTGAGGGAAAATCAGAAATTTACTCTAGAAGAATGTTACCCAACCAGTATCAGTTTGAATTCACTAAGGCTACATATAATGTATTCATACTACTGGCGCTCCATATCTGATGCACGGGTTTGCTTAATTCAGCACATTTATAGCGTTTGACGTTGCTTGATGTAAAAAGTCGGCAAATGTCATTTACTTGAAAAGTAATAAATAAGACTTTATTGATAAAACGTTATTTTTGAGAAACACACTGGATTGTGAATTTAATGGGGTCCACATTAAATAGCAACTTAGCTTAGCTGCTAACGCTGCGTAAGATTTGTCAGATTCGGCTACTGATATATTAGTTTACTTTAGTGACTTTTACAGCTTAATGTCTAGCGTTATTTTACATTGGTGACAAGCAGCTGACGCGAAGACTGCTTATTTTGTAAAAAAGATATAAAGGGAACAATAAAGCGCCCTTTCCCTTTAATTTTTTTACAGTATACTCTTTATATTTCTACAGTATATCAATTATATATCAACTATACGTTAACAAAAATATCATATGCCAAAATTATAACCACCGACATCATCGTATTATAAAAAATAGTAATAAAATTGATAATCCAAAATTTTACTATGATAGGTACGTCATTAATGGATCAATGCACATGAATAAATAATAAAACTCCTTATAATAATAAAAGTTTTTTCAAAATAATATTCATAAATCACATTAAAAAGTTTTTATGCTTCAAAGCTTGAAGGCAAAGCAGTATCAAAACGTAGTGATTATAGTTCAACATCCAGCTTACATAGCTTGTTACTGTAAGATTGACGTTGAACTGACTGTTTTTTTTACTTTTCTAACTTGGAGACCGTCTGTTGTGCAGTATTGAGTTGCGCGTTGGCGTGCAGGTGCAGTGGCGATGAGCCATTGGCCAAAACTAGTTGGAGAAGTGCGAGCTTCTCCATCATTGTGTTCAGTTCTTCACAGTACATATCTGCATTAATGCTCATCCCGTTCCGTAAGAATCTCTGTATGGTGAATCATAACCACCAAACAATGATCATCACTTTTCTAGGGGTAAGTTTTGATTTAGGATATTGCTTAGGTGCTAAACTGGAATCCAATCAACTTGCTGAACACTTGCGATTGTCAAACAGGATCCATTTTTCGTCGCAAGTAACAATGCGGTTCAAAATTCCTTCGTTTGTGTAACTGTTAAGCAGTACAAGACACTTTTCGACACGTAATTCGCGCTGGCGGTCATTGAGTTAGTGGGGCATCCATTTATCAAGCTATTTTACTTTGTCAATTTTCCGCAAATGGGCTAATATTGTTTTGATGGTAACGTCGAAAGCTACTGCTAATTCATTCATAGATTGAGTATGATCAGTTTCCACAATCGCCTTTAAAACATCATTGCCGATCAAAGTTTTCGCACAAGCACGGGGTTCATTTTTCAGGTCGAAAGTTTCAGAACGGAAGCGGGAAAACCATAATATTATATTACAGTATCGTTAAGTGGCGCTTTAAGGATATCTATTACGCCATATCTTCCCGTGGATATCGTAAGAGACGACAGAGGGAACAAATCAAGAGTTCAGCAACAGCGTTTTCCCAATAACGACTAAAAAAAACTGTGGTATCCAACTTGCTTGCTAAACGTGGCAACTATACAAATAATATCCCTCCTATGAGGAAATCTATGGGAGTGACTTATATTCTGCAGTGAACTTTAAAACGGTGCAACGGTAACTTACATTACAACGATGAATAAAGTTTGCCCGTTGTTTAGGATGCTTTTATAACATTTTTATTTTGAACTGCAATCACTTGCGTTACTATTTCCACAGTGACGTAACATAACATTGTAAAGGGGTACCACTACTTACTATCACTTGGAAAATTTATTTCAGAGCCATGATTAATTTTCAAGAACATCGCAGACTGTTAAATAATAGTTAAAATTATTTATTAATTATTTTTTTATACCATACAGAATATAACACAATACAACAAACTTAAATTTATAAATTAAGTGACCTTATCGCTAAACAGTGATCTCTATAATGTTCCATGATATGTCGCACACCTAGATCTAAAGAGAGCTAATTCAAACATCTCATTTTTTGAGTTACGCATTCCATCGAATTAAATAACTCACTACCAAGCACCCAATAAAACAGATTCAAAAATAGTTCCATTACTCAACGCTAGATGACGTTAAAAGCCCATTTTGTTGAACGGACGAGCCACGTTTTCACCCACTAAAACAGGGACATCGCTAGTTGTAACCAGTATTTTATGCGGAACGCACGTGCCCGTTGTAAACAAATCGGAGTTATTTTGAGTTAATTCCGTGTTCTTGAGTTAAACCGTAGTTTTGACTTAACATTATTTTGAGTTGTCGCTGTTTTTATGGTTAGTGCTGAGTAGATAAAGCAACATTTTGAGTTGAACCAGTGTTGATAGTTAGGTAGGCAATTTTTTTGTTTTTATTTTGAATTGTTACCATGTTGTTATAATTTTTTTGAATTTGTAGTTATGCCTGTTTTGTTGAGTCATTTTTTAAACTCGTATATTTCTTTAGAAAACAAATGAAATTGAAATTTTTTGCCAGTGGCGATTGGAGTCTGCTCATCTTAATAATATTTTATTTTTATCCTAGTAACTACACAGTTTGTTGTGTTTTTACTGAACAGTTTTTAAGTTAGAGCTTTTTAGATGGTTTATTTGTTTTCTTTTACTATTTCAGAAAAATAATTAATCGTGGACGGTTTTCAGTAAACATGGTTGAAGAAAGTGACAAAGAAAACATCAGCCCTAGCTTACTAACCCAACCAGATACTAGACAGGAGTTTGAACCAATAATACAAAAGGAGAGAGATTCATCTAACGAAACTCATGCAGCCTTATCCGTGGATGATAAATCTATTCCGAGCACATCTAAACAACAGCAGGCTAGTACACCAAATTATTTTATTTCACCAATCCAAAGTGATCAAAGTGACTTTGATGACTCAGGTGAGGATCCCAATTTCCAATTGAATAATAAAAGTAAGACACTATCTAAGATCGTACCTTTTGGTTCATTGCTGTCTTCATCCAGCATTAGCAGTAGTAGCTCTAAGAGCTCATCACGTTCTAATAGCTCGTCAGACACCGAAGATGACAGTGCGCATTTACAGCTTGACCCTCAAAATACTACGGTAGCTGAAATTAATTCCCAAGAGCTTGTTATAGAAGAAAAAAAGGGTAAAAAGAAGGTACGAAAACCAACGATGTGGAAATCGAAAGTTGTGAAAGTGCTGAGAAATTCTGGTAAAGCCTACCAGTCTATGTCAAAATCAAAATTACAAGTGCCAGAGTGAAAAGTCGGCCTCCCCTGTGGAGAAAAATGTCGGCTAAAATGTAAAGATAAGATCAATTAAATATCAAGGCAACAGCTTTTTTATGCATTTTGGGAACTCGGCAATCTTGAAAGGCAGAGAGAATTTAGAGTGCGACACTCACAAAAAATAAAATCTAAATATCAATACTCAAGCACACAAGATTTTAGAGCTCTTAACACTGCGTTTTATTTTGAGGTTGCTGGATCCAAAATTAGAGTTTGCAAACCGTTTTTCAAATCGACTCTCGGGTTGAGTTATAAAGCTATACAAACGGCACTTTCCAAGGTCTCCGAATCAGGAGTCATACAAGGAGCTTTGAGAGGAAAACACGGCCATCAACCAACTATTGATCCACAAATCAAACAGAGCGTTATTGATTTTATAAATTCTATTCCAAAGATTGAGTCTCACTACTCGAGAGCTCAAACGAAAAGACAGTATATTTCAAGTGAGAAATCATTGGCGGATATCTACAGAGATTACAAACAACTTCGTGAAAAGGATGGTTTAGCTATTGCCACGTCTTCCACATTCAACAGGATACTCAACACTGAATTCAACACTTCTTTTTTCATAACAAAAAAAGATCAATGCGATCTGTGCGAAAGGTATAAGAATTCAGACTCAGAAGAAAAACGCAACTTAAGCCAAGAGTATGAACAGCATCAGAATGAAAAAGTTTTGGCAAGAACTGAGAAAGATAATGATAAAAGTAGGGCCGATGGTACTATCGTAGCAGTTTACGACTTACAGGCAGTTTTGCAGATTCCAAAGGGACAAATATCACTATTTTTTTATAAATCCAGGATCAACTGTCTCAATTTTACCATCAGGAATTTAAGGGCAAAAGAAGCTATGTGCTACTTTTGGGATGAAACCGAAGGAAAGAGAGGACCTATTGAAATTGGCAGCTGCATACTTGACTACGTTAAAGCTCAGGTAGACCAAAATCCTAATAAAGAAATTGAAATAATTTTCTACTCGGACAATTGTGGCGGTCCACAAAAAAATAAGTTTCTGTTGTCTGCCTATGCCTACGCTGTCAACAAGTTAAAAGTCAAGTCTATTACTCACAAATTGAAGGTGACAACGTCCATAGTGTCATTGAGAAACAAATTAATAGATACTTGCAGTCGGGTCCAATCTATATACCAGAGCAATATAAAACGTTGATTGGTACAGCAAAAAAGACTGGAAAACCTTACACAGTCGTAGAAATGACGCATGACAAGTTTTATGATGTTAAAGCTTTGCAAGAAACGTGGGGCAAAAATTTCAATACAGACGAAGAGAGAAATCAAGTCAAGTGGCATGACTTAAAGGTTCTTAGGGTTGAAAAAGATCACCCTGAAGCGTTTTTCTATAAAACATCATTTACAGAGGAAATGTTTAAGAAAGTTTGTGTGCGAAAGAGGATTCTTCGCGTAAGAGGATCGGGATCGCCCATAGCTATAGATCAAGCGTTATTTTCAATTGGTTTAACACATGCATACACTGAAAAAATTGCATTGTCTGATGCAAAAAAAGACATAAAAGAATTGATTGATAAGAACGTCATTCCGAAATCCTATTATGATGTTTATTATAAATATGGTTTGGGTGATACTGATAATTGACTGCTTTATTCTTATTAAAGTGTTTGCATTCTTAACTACCTACTAAGAATATATACACCAAAAACTGTTTCTGATAAATAGTAAAAAACCAAAATTGTTGTTGTTAATGATGATCTCAAAGTGCCATTATTAGTATTTAAAGGTGTAGTTTAGCTATTTTGTTGATAATAGAGAAATGTCATAATTAAGTCCAATGTGATTTTAGATGAGTGTTTAAAATAGTGCTTCATGGAAGGGAAGGTTCCTGATTATGTTTATGTTGTGTTACTATTTTATTTTATAACAGAACGCGAGTAACCCGGGTTCGATCCCCGCCGGCACCAATGAAATTGTTAATTGCAATTTTAAGTGCTGATTTACCACGTGCTCGGCGGTGAAGGAAAACATCGTGAAGAAACCTGCACGTCTGAGGAATATGAAAAAAATATTTCGAAGACATGTGAAGTTCGTCAACACGCATTTGGGCAGCGTGGCGGACACTTCCTTGCCCTAAACCCTCTCAGAAATGAGGGGAGGCCTGAGCCCAGCAGTGGGACGTATATAGGCTGTAACTTTACTTTACTTTACTATTTTATTATGATAATTTAATTTGAACCTACTAGGTAATTAAGGGTCATAAGAGGCTGTATTTTTATAGAAAATATTAGGTATAGGTATATTATTAATAAAAAACATTTGATTTGATTACATAATTTAGTGTTTTCTTGCTAAGTCATCAACCAATATACTGCTGGTCACTGACCCTTCTATCAGTTGGATTTTAATTGAATTAATTCTAAATGCTGCTATATTTAAATTAATATTGACTCTTCAAAAGGGAGACAACTAGGAACTTAATTCACCAACACAGGTTCAACTACAAATAAAAAAAATATATACATACATTTATTAAGCAATACGGAAATAACTACAAAACTCCAATTTTCAGACTAAATTATGATTAAAATACATGATTCATTATGACATCTTTCCACTATTTGCATTTAAAAAGATTTGATCAATTCAGAAAACTCCTGCGGGGCACAGGAACACTGTAATCAGTTTATCACCTTTTCTGAAAATAATGATTTTTTGAGTTAATCGCTGTTTAGATCTAGGTGTGCGATGTGTGAATAATTTAGTGGTTAGTTCTTAGTAATACTTTACACGATATTTAATTAAAATTTAAAACATACATAATCTATACATATAACAAACCTGTAGAAAAGTCGTGTCATTTATTCTAATATAAAGGAGGCTGAATTTAAACTTAGGTTATATCCGTATTCATCCTAGATAAATCGTAAGGATAGTGCTAAAGCCTCAAGAGATTTCGTTTTAATCACTAGATTGTCGACAAGCCGAAACAGAGTGATGTATTCGTCATTGATGTTAATACCGTATCCTTTCAAATCCAGTGTTTTTAAAAGAGAGTAGGTACATAGCTTTAATAAGAGTTTCGGGAATATAATAATGATTTCTAGACTGAATTCCGATCACGGTGGCCAGTCTCAACTAAGACAGATCAGATGAAATGGCAATTGCTCATGACCGAAAACAGGTTAGGCGCAGGACTAACACGACTTTATGTGCTTTTTTTCTAGGATACGGTGACGAAACACCTCAACTTTCCGACTTCGGACTGCTACTAAAAATTACCTGACATAGAAACCTCATCTTAAAACTAATCTTAAATCGATCCGGTGTTCAAACCCGGGGCAACAAAATTTTCACTCGCGCATACGACCGCTAGACCAACAAGACAACCCAAAAATTCGGGGATATAAAGTTATCCTGTTTTAAACCTTCTGCAGTTTGATAGGATGAAAAATGATCATGAATCGATTAATATATATGACTAACTAATATATGTGGCCGAAGGGTAAAAGGAAAGGCTAAGAAACCGGACGATGCGGGCGGTATCGAGGAGCATTGCCTTTTGCATTCGAGTCTGAAGCGGTTCTTCATGAAGTCCTAGCCTCTTCAAATGGTCCGAGAGGTTGGAATTAAAATTTAATTAGAATTAACTTATTTACAGAAAGGAATGTAGGAATAATTTTGGTTGGTAGAACATCCTAAATGTTGATCACGTTCTAAGCTAGGTTCAAATATTTTGTCATTTTATCTGTTAGAGCTTTCACGAGATACTTGCCTTGTGGTCTTATCGCAAATTGACCGGTATGGCCCAGTCCTAGTGGAACCTGGCGCGGTCATTTATGCACTTACGATCAGGCAGTTCCGATCCACGAGCCCGTACTTCAGAGGTAGGTTCTAGCGTAGAATACTGATAATTAGGTTGTGTCTTGTCAAAATACTCGTTAGAAACTGCTAGAAAGAATTATTACCATTGTCGCCGTGTCTTTTATCTGATTCGAAGTTTATTTACGATCCTGCCACATATTGAATTGAATATTGTTAGTACTTCTGTATTTCATATGTAACAGCTTTCTATGATCGACATGGTATAGATGTATTTTTAAGAATTTTGGAAAACATGGATTAAATTAAATTAATTTATAATGATAACTTTGTATCTAAAATTATGATGCCCGTGAGATTATTGTTTTACATTTTAGAGATATGGACAGAAGGTGCTTAATGCAATAAAAGCCTGTCCAGCTCAAATGACCTCCCATTACTTCAATCAAGCCACTCGAGTTGACAGTAGATATTAACCGAGATTAATTCATTTTTAAAGACTGGCTATTTAGTGTGAAATTTAATGTTGTGTTATGCGATAGTGCACATATAATATTCAGCTTTCTACTACTTCCAAAAAATATTCTTAATGAAATATAACTATCATGTAGTAACATTATTTAGTCTATTCCAAAATAAAACCGATCTGCTATTACCATAATAAAATAATATTATTTTATAATTTATTTTGTTCTTGTTCGATTGCGTTTTTATTTTTTTAAACCCAAACGACCAGTGTATATTTGTTTTCAATTGTTTATATTTTTTAACTATTTCGATTCCTGGGTGTGTATACCATTTTTTGATACAGAGATTATCAGGTAGGCTCTTGACGACGATGATAATAATCATGCTGTTGATCTCATGCAATCATCAATCATCTAATCACCTTTTAAGACAGCGTGCATAACAGTGAATAAGTTGTTGTAAATTATTATTCCCGAAAAATCTTAAGTAATAATATTAAAAGCAGAACAATTGCATGCCTCACGCGAAGCATTATAAGGTAGTTATTTACTCTCGACACGTCAAGGTCAAGCAGTTTTGTGTTCTTAAAATGCCTCTTCATAGCCATATTGCATTATAGCACATGATTAATCGTATATATATTAATGACTTACCTTACATAGTAGGGGATAACCATGATATAGTATTATTTGCTAATGATACTTCATTAATTTTCAAATTAAAACGACAGCTAAGGTAGTCAATTGGTTTAATGTTAATAATTTGCATTTAAATGGAACTAAAACTAAATGTATGAAATTCGTAACTCCTAATGTCAAACATGTTAATACGAATGTAATTTTAAATGGGGAAGAACTACATTACTAACACTAGACGCAAAGCTTCAATGGCTCCCCCATATATCAAAACTAGCTAGCAGACTTAGTTCTGCAGCATATGCTGTAAAAAAGATAAGAACTCTTACCAGTGTTGAAACAGCAAGAATAGTTTACTTTAGTTATTTCCATAGCATTATGTCGTATGGTATTTTGCTATGAGGACACGCGACTGACACTGAAATTATATTTATTTTACAGAAGAGAAGAAAAAGGGAAAAGAGTCACTGAGACAAAAATTTAAGGAAATTAATATATTGACTCTGGCCTCTCAATATATTTATGAAAATGTAATGTACGTACACAAGAATAAACGTAGTTTTGCAAAAATAAGTGATATTCATTCTGTAAATACTAGGAACAGACACAAGCTAGTAGTACCAGTTACTCGACTCCACCGAGTCAGTAATTCATTCTTGGGGCGATGTATACACTTTTACAACAAAATTCCAGAAAATTTTGTTGTAAAAGTGTAAAAGTGTAATTACACAAAATTTGTCATACGCAAAGTTCAAAAATTTTATTAAACTAAGTTTGTATAAAAAGGGTTATTATAATATTAAGGAATTTATGGATGATAGTAACCCCTGGGAAGGGTGATCGCTACCAAGCTATTTCTAATTAGTGTTGTGTTGTTAATTGTAAACATGATTGTAAGCTATTATTTGAAGAAAAAAAAATAGTCCCGCTGGGTTTCTTGCTGGTTCTTCCCAGGACAAAGTTTTTTTTGCGAACCAGTGGTAAATGAAAAAAATGACTTTCTATAAGTATTACTTATAATCTACATTGAATAAAAAAGTTTCTGTTTCTGTTTCTGTATATAAAGAAAACTCTAATTAAACCTTTTCAAGGGGAATGAAAGTGAACGCAAGTAAGATGAAAGTGATGGTTTTTGAAAGAGAAGAAAGCAAAACGGTATGTGAATTAATAATAGAAGGAGAGTTAATTGAGCAAGTGGATGAGTTTGTGTATTTGGGATGTATATTTAGCAGGGATGGTAGATATGATAAGGATATAGAACGACGAGTAAATGCAG